AATGGGAAAAAAGTATCAGAAGGATTCTATCCAAAAAAAGAAAAAAAAAACACAACACTCGTACATCGACAACCCGAGAAATAGGCGGGAAAATGTGGCTATAAAGTCTCATGACGACAATAAGAAGAGGTGTTAGCGCGGGATCAAATGTTTGCTTTAAGGAGGATCCAACGCTAGGGTGGAGGCGCTTAAAGAGGATCCCACGCTGTCTTGGCGACACTTTGTCTCATGAATGCTATTACGCTCGAGGCAACAGGATCCAGGATCTTTTATACTTCGTCTGCTATGGCCCGTCCTCCATTTTTATTGTTGCTGTTATTATTGTTCATTTACGTATTGTCTCTTTCGTCTTATTAACGTTAATGATAACAGTAATGATATTAGCAGAGATTAACGTTTCTCACGGTGAAAGTAAATGCCATAAGCCAAGTCAATGAAAATTCGTTATGTTCATTGTGTTGATAACATTGAAAACGATGATGGCAGCTACGTACACGATGTTCTCGCCTCGAGCTATTTCCGAAGAACAATAACTCGCTAGTGATACGTCAGCTATTACACGCCCGAAGGGTTTAAAAGGTCGCTTTTGCCGTACTCGGGAGCCAGTGAAGAGCTGCAGGGCGTGCATTTGTTGCAAGCTAGACTGAGTTTCTCGTGTGCATTCGAGAATTCCTTTCAGTCGCGGCCCGAATGGGAGTGTCTGCAAGGGGGCTCTCAGCTGGGGGGGGGGAGGGGGGAGGGCTTCTGCGACGGTCTCTCAGCTGGGGGAGGGAGGGGGAGGGGGGGAGGGTTTCTGCGACGGTCTCTCAGCTGGGGGGGGAGGGGGGAGGGCTTCTGCGACGGTCTCTCAGCTGGGGGGGGGAGGGGAGGGGAGGGAGGGAGGAGCGACGGGCTGCTCTCTCACTGGGGGGGGGGGGGATGGGGGAGGGGCTTCTGCGACGGGTGGTCTTCTGCGACGGTCTCTCAGCTGGGGATGGGGGAGAGGGGAGAGGGGGAGGGGGGAGGGCTTCTGCGACGGGATGGGGGGATGGGCTTCTGCGGTCTCTCAGCTGGGGAGGGGGGAGGGGGAGGGGGAAGGGCTCTGCGACGGTCTCTCAGCTGGGGAGAGGGGAGGGGGGAGGGCTTCTGCGACGGGTCTCTCAGATGGGATGGGGAGGGAGAGGGCTTCTGCGGGATCTTTGAGGGGGGGGGAGGGCTTCTGCGACGGTCTCTCAGATGGGGGGAGGGGGGAGAGGGAGAGGGTGGGGGGGGAGGGCTTCTTGCGACGGTCTCTCAGATGGGGGGAGGGAGGGGGGGAGGGAGGGCTCTGCGACGTTTCTCTCAGCTGGGGGGTGGGGGGGAGAGGGGAGGGGAGGGGAGGGGCCTTCGCGACGGCTCTTCAGGCTGGGGGATGGGGAGGGGAGGGGAGGGGGGAGGGCTTCTGCGACGGTCTCTCAGTGAGGGGAGCGGAAGAGGGGAGGAGGAGGGGAGGCTTCTGCGACGGTCTCTCAGCTGGGGGAGGAAGGGGAGGGGAGGGGGGAGGGCTTCTGCGACGGTCTCTCAGATGGGGGGATGGGGGAGAGGAGGGGCGGGGGAGGGCTTCTGCGACGGTCTCTCTCTGGGGGGAGGGGGGGAGGGAGGGGAGGGCTTCTGCGACGGTCTCTCAGGTGGGATGGGGGGAGGGGAGGGGAGGGGAGGCTTCTGCGACGGGTCTCTCAGCTGGGGGGAGGGGAAGGGGGAGGGGGGGAGGGCTTTCTGCGACGGTCTCTCAGCGGGGGGAGGGGAGGGGAGGGGGGAGGGGCTTCTGCGACGGGTCTCTCAGCTGGGGGGAGGGTGGGGGAGGGGGGGGAGGGTTTCTGCGACGGTCTCTCAGCTGGGGGGAGGGCAGGGGGAGGAGGGGGGAGGGGGGAGGGCTTTGCGACGGTCTCTCAGCTGTGGGGGAGGGAGGCGGGGGAGGGTTTCTGCGACGGTCTCTCAGGCTGGGGGGGAGGGGAGGGAGGAGGGCTTCTGCGACGGTCTTCTCAGCTGGGGGGGAGGGGGGGGGGAGGGGGGGAAAGGGCTTCTGCGACGGTCTCTCACTGGGGGGAGAGGGGGAGGGGGGGTGGGCTCTTTCCTCATCAACTTCTTTCGTCTTCCTGCTCCCCTTCCTTCATAATTTTTATTACACAGACACCTCACGCAGCACGCACGCACACACACACAAAACACACACACACATATATATATCTATCCATCTATCTTCTATCTATTCTATCTATCTATATATATATATATATATATATATATATATATATATATATATATATATATATATATAATCCAAGCGTGCGTATGTGTATATAAGATTATTTATAGTCCACGAAAAATGCAATAAAGATAAATTTACTTTCTACTTCATCTTAAAGAGGAATTCAATATAGCGCCATTTTCGACAATAAATTACGTCATCTGAAAAAGAAAGAAAATACTCGTAATCTGGATCTTAAAAACACCAGATGTTAACTGTCATCATTATCATCATTACTTCTTTTTTTCTTTTTATCTCCTTGTCCTCCGTGCTGTAAACGGGACAGAGTGGATAGCATAATTAAGAAACTCAAGGCGGTTATTTGTCGTCTTCCTTATTCAGCAAAACTTTTTAATATTATCGTTATTGTCATTATTTTGTTCTTTTTCTCCTTGTGTTTTTTCTCTTTGTGGTTCGTATTTACCTCAGTGTTAGGTAATTACATAACACTTGTAATTACATAACAGCCAATATTCTGCTAGGAACTATCGAATTACTTCCGGTTCATCCTAATAACGAACCGGGGAATCAAAGAATATTTATTTATTTTTCTTTTCCTTTTTTTCCCCTTTTCTCTCTCTCTCTCTCTCTCTCTCTCTCTCTCTCTCTCTCTCTCTCTCTCTCTCTCTCTCTCTCTTCTCTCTCTCTTTCTCTCTCTCTCTCTCTTGTTTTACTTGTAGGCCAGCAGTTATACCTCACACCTTTTGTTTCCCCAAAAAGGTACAGAAGGAACTTAAGAAAAAGAAAGAAAGAAAAGAAAAGAAAAAAACAAAAAACAAAAAAAGAAAAACAGAAAGGCTAGTCACTGTACTGAATCAGCCTTGCCCATATTGCCCCAGTGAAAAGTAGAGTTAAAAGAACCCGCCATAACATGCCTCTATTGGTCCACTTCTACGAGGACCCATACAGTGAACATGTTTAAAAAGGTCTCTACGACATGTTCACTGTACTATAGTATAGTATAGTAATATAGTATAGTATAGTATAGTATAGTAAGTAAACGGTTGATTTAATGGATATGATAGACGGGTATGTTTCAACAAGGTGTATCATTTGTTCATTTCTTCTCCATTCCCCCCCCCCCCCACTTCACCACTTACCCCCCTCTCAATTCATCTCACTTCAACTACTACTTACCTCCTCCAACTCACCCCACTTCACCATTTACCGCCGCAACTTCACCCCCAACTTAACCACCCCTCCATTCTACCTCCTCACTAACTTACCTCCTCCAACTCACCCCTACTTTACCACTTCCCCCTCCACCCGCTCACCACTTACCCCCCCAACCCACCCCCCACTTCACCACTTACCCTCCCACCCCAACTACCCCACTTCACCACTTGCCCTCTAATTCACCCCCACTTCACCACTAACTCCCTCAACTCACCCCCACACTTCATCACCCCAACTCACCACTTACCCAACTCACCACTTCATCACTTCCCCTAACGCACCCACTTCACCACTTACCCCAACTCACGCCCCACTTTCACCACTTACTCCCCAACTCCCCACTCAACCACTTACCCCCCAAACTCACCCCCACTTCACCACTTACTGCCCCAACACACCCCACTCCACTTACCCCCACTTCACCACTTACCCCCCAACACCACTTCACCACTTACCCCCACTCACCCCTTTCCCACTTACCCCCCCCACCCCCACTTCCCCAACCACCAATTTATTCGTATTTACACCCGAATACCTGACACAAAGTCTTTTCTCTCTCTCTCTCTTGCTTTCACTGTTGCCATATTGCCTTGTCACGGACCGATCCAGGAGGTGTCATTTGTGCCGAATGCCAGGCAGGTCTCCTTGTCGGTGTCATGCGGTGCCTCTGAGTGCCCACTGAAGGATGCCGAAGGAGTGGCGAGGAGCACTGGGAAAGGTAGAGTGATTTGAAGACACTGCCATTACTATATTAACGATATCAATTATAACAAATTCAACAACGATTATATCGAGGATGATATTATTACTCTTATCATCACTATTATTATTATTATCATCATCATCAACATTATCATCATCACTATCATCGCCATCATCATCATCATCAATAACAATGACTCTAAATGACAAACAATAATAAATATCAACGCTAATAAAACAATTGTTTCCCTAATTCCAAAATTCAACGCCACTTTACATACTATATCCCTTTATCAGGCGTATACAACAAACGCATCCCGTCATAGTCTATACAAGTACAGACAGACCTTGCTCCCCAGTACCCACCCGGTTTCGGAGGTACCAGTACCAGTTGACGCGCTGGGGCCTCGCGTGTCGGTGGCCCTGATCTCGATCCCTGGTACTCTGGCCTTCGAACTGGTCAGAGGGTGATCCACGGTCGGTGTTTGCTGAAATTTCTCATATACGGGACTCCCTTATACAGATATAGACCGTATAATTCGCTTGAGTGGTTCTTTGGGGTCGTGGTGGGTTTGGACGCGAGTTTTGAGCAAGTTCTTAAAAGTTTTAAGTTTTCTAAGTTTCGGGGTATTTGGGGCAGAGAGGGACTTGTTTAATGTACGTACTGTTTTTTTGTTTTTTTTTTTGCTTTTGTTTTATTTGTAAGTTTTACCAAAGGGGTGATTTATTTGACATGCATAAAGGTGTTTTTTTTATTGTTCGTGGTGTTCGCAGCTACAACTTTTTCTTCCCATCTTTTTTCCTTTTTTAAGGGACTACCAGATTGGGTCTGTACAACTTCTCATCGCTCAGGGGCTCAGTATGCCTTAATCTGGCCCTGGATTGGCACCTCTAAGACTCTGAACAAGTTGAACATGCTCTTCATATGGTCTCAGTTCTTGGCAAACAGCTGGAGGTCATCAATAAACAACGGTAGAACGGTTTCATGAATCTCGGACCATGTCACTGGCATGATATGATAAAGATAAAAGGAAATGAGTGAAAGATAAGATAAGATAAGATAATATATAATAAGATACAAATAAAAGATACATGATAAGATACAAATAAAAGGAAATAAGTGAAAATGAAAGTTAACCAAAACATGGAAATGCAAAATTCGATAACATAAACAACCAAAAATCGAATTCGAAATGAAATCAAGCACGAAAATGAAAGCCAAACAAAACATAAAATGACCTTGTTTACCTCCTTGGTGAAAGCGTTATAAACTGAGTGGGCTCTGGTTCATGCCCTTTGTAGAACTGGAAAGATATTTTAATCAATAATTGAACCTCTTAGTGAAATCTTTATAAGGGGACTCATAAACAAATGGATTTCATGAATATCGAAAAAAAAAAATCATGATAAGTAAATATATCATGAAATATGAATGATAATGTAAATATATCATATTTTTTCTTTACTCTATATGAAATATGACACATACCTTTAGTATTATGAGGTTTCATGAATAGCAAAAAAAAAATCATGATAATATAAATATATCATATTTTTTTATTTACTCTATATGAGATATCACACGTACCTTTAGTATTATGAGGTTTCATGAATACTAAAAAAAAGTCATGATAATGTAAATATATCATATTTTTTCTTTACTCTATATAAGATATCACACGTACCTTTAGTATTATGAGGTTTCATGAATACCAAAAAAATCCTGATAATGTAAATATATCATAATTTTTCTTTACTTTATATGAGATGTCACACGTACCTTTAGTATTATGAGGTTTCATGAATATCAAAAAAATCATGATGATGTAAATATATCATATTTTTCCTTTACTCTATATGAAATATCACAGGTACCTTTAGTATTATGAGGTTTCATGAATACCAAAAAAATCCTGATAATGTAAATATATCATATTTTTTTTCTTTACTCTATATGAAATATCACACGTACCTTTAGTATTATGAGGTTTCATGAATACTAAAAAAATCATGATAATGTAAATATATCATATTTTTTCTTTACTCTATATAAGATGTCACACCCTTCATTACTATTACTATTACTATTACTATTACTATTACCATTACGGTGTGAAACTACATAGTCTTGGTGATTATCTTTCGTCAAAATCTATTATCCCTTTCTACTCTAATTGGCTCGTTCTGGTGATTTCCTCGGTCAGGGTGTATTTGCTTACCATAACAAACGAGGAGGGAAATATTACTGTAGTGTAGAGTACTGTATTTTGTGTATCTATTTAGGAGTAAGATGTATTTCCATTTGAAACTTTACGTGCTGTATCCTTGTTGTTTCTCTCTAGTTTTGTTGGTCTTCTGGAGTGAAGGGTTTATATCTGTCAAAATTTATCTGTTTTTTTTTTTTTTTTTTTTTTTTTTTTTTTTTTATGAATCAGTAGGTACACTTGTTATAATGCCTTCAGACATACCAAATACCATGCCAAAGTTTTTTTTTTTTTTTTTTTTTTTTTTTTTTTTTTTTTTTTTTTTTTTCTTCATTACTGATCCGGTAGCATTATACAGTATATTATTTCAGTTGTTGCTTTCTGTTTTTTTCCGAAAAAGGGGTAGCGTACTCCTCATCAATCTGTCAGTATGTGTATATTTGTCTATTTATCTATCTATCTATCTCTCCACACATACGCACACACGCACGCACACCACACACACACACACACACACACACACACACACACACACACACACACACACACACACACACAACACACGCACACACACACACACACACACACACACACACACACACACACACTCACACACACACACACACACACACACACACACACACACACACACACACACACACAACACACACTCTCTCTCTCTCTCTCTCTCTCTCTCTCTCTCTCTCTCTCTCTCTCTCTCCACACACACACACACACACACACACACACACACACACACACACACACACACACACACACACACACACACACACACACACACACACAAACAAACTCACACACACACACACAAACACAAAAAAAACACCCATATATCTCAACATACCTATTAATACCTCTCCTAATCCCATACATCTCCTAAGACCTTCCTATCAACCCAATATCACCCCATGCCCTATATACACACCCGGGCAGAACCTCCTATAACTGGACCGATTGAGGACGCATAAATGAAGATATTAATAATTTCACTTTTTCCATTTCATGCGTCTGGATAGCTGATGGTGGGTGACGGTGTGGCGCTGGGGGCAGTGAACCAGCTGGGACGCATCGACACGGAATGGTGGTGTTGTTGGTGGTGGTGGTGGTGGTGTGGTGGTGGTGGTGTGTTGTTGTTGGTGGTGGTGGTGGGTGGTGAGGTGTTGTTGTTGGGGTGTGGTGGTGGTGTTGTGGTGTTGTTGTGTTGTTGTTGTTGTTGTTGTTGGTGGTGGTGGTGTTGTTGATTGTTGTGTTGATGTTTTTTGTTGTTGGTGTTACTGTTGATATTGTTATGTTTTAATGTTATTGTTGTTATCATTGTCATTGTTATCACTTTTACCATCACTCTCACCTTACCCCCTCCCCCCACTCACTACTTACCCCCCCCACCCTCACCACCTCAACTTTACCTTCACTACTTACCCCCCCTCACCACCTCACTCAACTCACCACTTTCCCCCCACCCCCCACCCACTACTTACCCCCCCCCCCTCCCCCCCTCAACTCGACAGGAACGTGGCACTTCCTTCGGCCGTTCATGCTGAAATCCGTTCATTGTTGCCAACTCGGTGTGTCGTCCTTTTATCCCATCTGCATAAACAGGTGCAGTAATTTCGTTAAATAATAATGATAATAATAATAATAATGTTTTTTTTTGTTTTGCTTTTTTGCTTATTATTATAGTGGTTTCGTTTTGATGTTGTATTTGTTATGATGCAGTGTTTTGTATGAGAAAAAATGATAATGATGGTGATGATGATGATGATGATTATGATGAGAATGATAATGTTAATAAAGATTATGATACTAGCAATAACAATAGTGATAATAATTATACTCATGATAATAGTAATGATAATAGTCATAGTAATGGTTTACAAAACTGATTCAAAAATATTTTCATCTCTGCTCTGCTAAATGTAATAATTTCATAAAAAAAAAAATTAAACAATTATTTCCCATTTTAATTAGAACCATAACTATCCATTATTTAGCAAAATCGTTACAATTCCAGCCGCATTTAGTATAAGTAAATATTATGAGTAAATATTGTTAGTATGAGTAACTGATTTCCAATTTCCATTAGATTAATTGGTAGTTTCGGTTTCACAATAATATCAATAATAACAATAATAACTATAACTACAAAGGCGTGAAGAAAGATTTCAAAATTATGAAAATGTGTCAATTAAAAAGAGAAATGAATTAGCATATACGTATTAATTAGGATAATCTTAATAATTAAACCAATTACGATAGAGATGATAATGATGATGGTGTTACTACTAATTATGTAATGATCATAATAATATTAATCATTAGATTAATGGTCACACTAAAATTGTTATCAAGGCTATTAACAACTATCAATAAAAATCATTATCAATATCATTATCAATATCCCCATCACTGAAAGTTTTGATCAATAAAAAAATATGATGATAATGTTGCTAATCATTATGATAATGTGAAAATATGATAATGATGATGGTGATAATGTGAAAATATGATAATGATAATGATAATGTGAAAATATGATAATGATAATGATGATGGATAATGTGAAAATGATAATGATGGTGATAATGTGAAAATATGATAATGATGATGGTGATAATGATCATAAAAGATAAAATAATTACAGTGGTAATGATGATAATGATAATCACGATATTAGTAATAATAACGGTGATAATAATAACAGTGATAATGATAATGATGATAGTAGTACTAATGATAATGATAATTAAATCGATAATGATGATAAAAGATTTTTTTTTGTTGTTATGTATGAACATTTTTTCACAGTGATAATCTTTTTAAATCTGGCGAAATCTGTTGTATTCATTTTTTCAAATATTTAAAATACTGCTTGTCAGAACGATGTAAATTATTAATATAAAACGTGAGGTTTTCGTGGAACCGACAAAAAAAAAAAAAAAAAAAAAAAAAAAAAAAAAAAAAAGTCAAATATTTGTCGACAGCATCACAAACTTTATAAATAAATAAATAAATAAATAAAAAAGAATAAAAAAAAAAGCGAAAATAACAATGGAAAAATATTTGTATTTCTTTCGCTGTCCAAAATGATTGATGTTGGTTTAATTATTTATTCGTCTGTCTTTTGTTTCTATCTTCTATTTTGTTTTTTTTTTATCGTAATTGCTGTTGGTTTCTTTTATCTCCGTTAATGGCCAATTTGCGCGGTATGTTTGCTTTGTTTGTTTGTTTGTTTGTTTTCTTTGTGTGTGTGTGTTTTCTTTGTTCTTTTTTGTTTTTGTATTTTCGCTGAAGTGAATAGAACTCTCGGTCAATTCCTTGTGTTTACCGTCGCGGTTATTCTGTCCTCCCTTTCTCCCTCTTTCGTCCCTCCCCCCTCCCCCCCCATCCTAATCTCTCGTCCTCCCATCCTGTTTCTTCCCTTCTCCTCCCCCTCCCCCCTCTCCCTCTCCTACTCCCTCCTTCCCTCCCTCTCTCCCCCCTGTGGTTCCCCCTCTCCCCTACCCCCTCTTCCCTACCTCTCTCTCTCTCTCTCCGCATTCTTCTTCCTCACTCTTGACTCCCCCTCATCCCCCCTCCTCCCTCCCCCCCTTGTGAATCCCTTACCCCTCCCCTCTATCCCTCCCTCTGACCCCCCCCCCACCCTCCGCCCCCTACCACTTTCCCACCATCGCCCACGTGCCCCCCACCCCCTCCTCCTGATCCTTACCCCTTTCTCCGTCATGCGAGAGTTCCCACACCTTGAGGGAACAACACCTGCACCCCCTCCTTCCCCCCCCTACCTAATCCTCCCCCCCTTCGTCCTCCACCCCTCCTCTTCCCCTCCTTCCTCCATCCCTCCTCCCCTCCTACCCCTGTATCCCTTTCGATCCTTCCTTCCTCCTCCCTTCCCTCCCTTCCACTATTCACCTCTCCTTCTTCCCCTCTCCCTATCCTCACTTCCCCGTTTCCCCATCTATCTCTCCCTTTCCTCTCCACCTCTTCTCTCTTATCCCTTTCTCTATCTACCCCTCCTTCCCCTCTCCCCTTCCTCTCTCCCTTCCCCCTTTCCCTCTCTTCCCTTCCTCCTTCCCTCTCCCCAT